GCTTTTATTAAAATCAATAATTGTCTCGTGAATTTAAATAAATGTAGCTTAGTTGATTAAGATATTAGGTCTTTGACTTTGATCGAAGATTCAAATCTCCGTCTTGCATGTTGACGTAAGAAAAAGTCAATATCATCTAACTATAAGAACGTCAACTTTGGTATCTTATTGTTTTCTTATACTCAAATCAAATTAATTATGATAAGGGTTCACTTTTTATGTTTTAACTCATCTATAATTTGCATCTAGCTTTAATGAGTTTAATTTTGTGTACTCGGAGTTAGTAAAAGATAACAAAGATGGGAGTCAATATGTCATCACTGGTGTCGAGTGGGTGCTTTATCAATCATTGTAACTTACTAGACCTAGCCTTTCATTTCAAATAGCATTAGCCCTTGATGTATACCTACAATCAAGGTAGTGCATCGGAATCTAATCAACATAAACACGAACTATACCTAAAGGAGAAGGTGACTATCGAGCTGGTGTCAACTGGGTCGGGACACATATCTCCTATCTCCGTACTTCCAACTGGCTTATTATACAACTTTAATGTACTTGTTGGAGTGGAAACATATACGTAGAGGGAGTAATTGTACTAATAAAATACAATCTTGTCCAAGTATTAGAATGTGTTGAGCATAACGCTACATGATTGTAAGATCTTACTTTCTAACTCATCTCGACTTTCAAAGTGGTTGCCTAACATTTATGGAGGCTTTGAGCGTTAAACAACTTTGATTTACTTTTAGATGCGTTTATGGATACCCTTAACATCCTTTTTTTAGCGAAAACGCGTTAGTTTTGGATAATTATGAAAATTAAGAAGAAATTAAAATGCAAGTGACTTGGTTGAGGTTCGAAGGCTCACACACGCAATAATGAAAAACGTCATGCGTCAACCATAGGAAAAATGCAAGAAAATTTATGCCTTTAGGAGAGAGGAGCCTAGACGCCCCTAAAAACCTAGTAGTCTTCCACGACAACCATGAATGACAAAGGTAGATCTTCATGCCATTAGGAGTATGTAGAGTGTTATCAAAACCCTTCAAGTTGTTATTTGTATAATGGTGCCATTAGAATCCCTACTACCCTTTCCACTCTGATATTAGTACTGTCGAGCTAGACTTGGTTAGTTAAGATAGTGTGTCAAGACAACTAGTCGCCCAACCTTGTGGAAATACCAAGACAATAAACACATCCTAAGAGGGGGCGTGGAAATCCAGCTGGTCAGCACATGGGGGCTACACCCCAAACTAGGTTGACTTTATGGTCTTGTAGAAAGGTTCTCCAGCTAACCTTTCACATATGACATGCAGGCTAACAATCATCGTACTATCCCACCAGTAGCTTTATAAGGTAGCACCTCTATACAAGACATTGGTTTCTCACTACATAGGCAAAACAAGCTATCATAAGTCAACGAACATAAGAATAGTTCACCCTAGAGATGTGACATGTCGTTCAATGGATCCATGACGCCAAAAAAAGGTGAACCACCACATTCATACCCAAAGTGAGTATGTGAGCAGCCAGAGAACCATTCGAAACTTTAAGGCCTCCCAGATGTTCAATAACAGTAGAGACTAGGCCCAAACTTTGTAAAGCCTAGAGTTAAGCACGTGGATATCTACTTAGTTAATGAGAACCTACAAGTAGGTTGTTTGCAAAGTATTTTTATACTCACCTCCTTTCTTCTTTCTTTTTTCAAGTGTTCGTAAGCTATTAGTCGAGGTGGGGAGCATTCAAGAGCTACGCAGTCACACAGGAGGTCGTTTCAGAACGTCAATTCGTTTCTATATTTTGGTTTGTTATTGTATCTCAAAATTTGAATAGCACTATCGTGTATTAAGATTAGGGTTGATGAATACTAATCTAATATATTAAGATATAAACAATGAATTTAAATTTTATTTGGAAACAAATGCATGAAACTTGTGGTGGTTAATTTATTATTACCAATTGGACAAAATAATTATTAGGCACATGGCTTTGTTTTTAAAAACATAGAAATTATAAAATTAACCCTTTTGCATTTTGGGTGTCACAATGGGATTGAAATTGACATTATAAACAATACAACTCTAATGTTTTATGCCCTTTCATACTATATGCTAAAATATTGGTCACTCATCGAGTTGTCTAGTAAGCTAATATAAAGACCTATCAAAATTTAATCGAGTTAAAAATAATAATTAAAAAAATGCTTTTTATTTGAGATTCCGAACCAAAGTCATTCGGCTCTACCTTACCTCTACTCTAGGCCAAGGTCTCCCATGTGCAATGTTGCATCTCAGTCATCATCTTGATTTTCAACAACATGACCCATGGATTATGATGTCATCCCATATCTCTAAACAGCTTGGCCAACTTGGCTTGCTCGAACATGTCTATTGGGATCGACCCTCGTGTCGCTCAACTCATTAGGAATCTGAACATTCATCCATCCATCCATCCATCTGGGTTCTATCGAGGCATGGACAAGCGTGTCCATGTTAAATTGTTTACGAAATCCGTGTCGGATAGTGGGTGCATAATCCAACCTTTGAAACATGAGTTGGGGTGCAATGTTGTCGCACCTGTGTCGCTCGACACTGTTCTTAAAAGATCCATTTCAAATGAAGACACCTGAGACGCTTGTCCCGCAATGGTTGTCACCTTATGACACACGTATGTGCCATAGGATAGCTTGCTTAGGCCACGGGGCTCAAAGTAGTGGAGAGTTGACACCATGCTTCCCTTTATATACATTTTGAGGCATTTCAAATATTTATAGAGCAAACGTCATTTTGGCGAGTGGTCATACGGCCCCGGAGTGTCTGTGGATATTTGATATACACCAAATTTGGTGAACTTTCAACTTTCATATGGATGGATTTTGACTCTATAGCCTCATGTCGAAACTCATATCGAAACCCCAACTTCTAATGTTATGGCCTAAGCCCTACCTGGCCCTCTCCGAGCTTGTCTTCGACAATGTCACTTCGTTCTGATCTCCAACCTTGATTATATGTCAGTTTGGCTTTAATGCACATTCTTCTTAGTGTGTTGGACGAAGCACTATCCCCTCAATCGAATCATGGTACTTATCTATCTTGACCTGCAGGTGGGTGGATGGGCGCCACTTGAGAGTCGCTACCTTGTCTATCTGCATGTGGGGGTAACAACCTACTATTGCATCGATTGAGAGGAAGGAAGTTCAAGTTTTTCTTTGGTCAATGGTTTCTCGTAACCTAAACACCGTGATAGGCTATAAAGAAAGTTGAAACATTGATCTATCTTGCCATCAAGATGCAAATTGTAATTGAGTAGGGAAAAAAAAAACGAAGTTGTAAAGGTCCAAGACCACGCTAATAGATATTGTCCTTTTTGGACTTTTCTTTCGAGGTTTCCCTCAAGGCTTTAAAACGCGTCTCTAAGGAAAGGTTTTCACACCCTTATAGGGGGTGTTTCATTCTCCTCCCCAATCAATATGGGATACCACAGAAGTACAAGCATCTCAGCTCGTGTCTGCCAAAAAGTGGTGAGCTTCAACTCGTTGACAAGTTCTTCTTGAGCTATCTCCCTTGTCTCCTCGCAACTCCTAACCCTAATGTCGCAATTTTGTGCTTCTTTTTTATATTGAGATAACCATTTCTTAACATCTTCCACCAATGATTCATGGCGTTGCATATTCTCTTCCTTCACCATCTCTATCAAATCATCGTTATAAGAACAATGACAGTAACAAGAAGGTCTAATGGGCTCCTACAATTATTGGGATTGAGCGATTGAGCTAGTGATGATATTTTAACGTCTTCATGATTTGCTTTAGAACAAAATGTTAGAATTAGGCTTGTGAATCTCGAAAGTGTATCCTAGTATTTGATTTTTTAAAAAGCCAAATTGATACAGAGACGTAAGACCAAGTTGAAAATTAGAACCAAACTCTCCAACAATCGGTATCTTCTTATCTTAATCATATGTTTCGAAACATTTAGAAGATAGATAACACGAACAAACAGGTCAAATGACGATTCTAACCTTCAAGGTTGACTTCAAACCATGGGAGATGGGAAAAAGTAAAAAGGAAGGGAAGTTTCCTTGTTTGGCGGGCAAATGAATATCCGTTTGCTTTCTTTAACAACTTTCAAAATATAGTTTTTTTAGTTATCCTTATCTTAGACACTTCATTCCTTATCCAACCAACCAAAATAGGCAATGTTTGCTCCTTATCTTTGACACTTCATTCCTTATCCAACCAAAATAGATTCTATGGCGGCTGAACACGACACTCTAGTCGTTAGAACACACCCAATTATTAACTACCTCCACGCTAAATGTTATGGTCATGTCTGGATATGATGTGTTGTAGCGACGGTTAAACAGTACACTACCAATTAAGTAACGAAAAATTTATATAAATCCATCAATTTTTTATTTTTTTTATTCACAGCCAAATGATCATTACCTAGACGGGTTTGACTCCATTATAAAAGGAAGATCCCTTGGTCTACCTTTCATCCCACTTGAACGGTTCGAAATCAGTCGGAGAATACATTTTTTTCCAATGGCTCCAGGCTAACATTTTAGTTGATCCGACTTAGGTTTGATATGCTTAGACCCTATGCAAAATTAGGTGAGTCAATTTTCATAGTATAATTGCTTTATGTATGATGACACGTGCACAGTGACCCTACATGTGCCATTTGTGTGATATGTTTTAATATGTGACTTTACGTGTTGCTATATGATAAGCCAAATAATATTATGGTTTAAATGAAATGTCATACTATGTTACGATAAGTTTTGTTGTGTGTCGCTCTGAAGACTATGCATAATTATACGTTCATTTGCATTGGGATACTCCCGATGACATGAACATATATATTTCTGGAAGATACTAAAATAAATAAATAAATATATATATATATATATATGTGAATATATGAAAGGAAATAAATAATTCCCCGCCAATTCAGAAAAGAAGGGTATAAATTTGGCAGAATACTGCGATGGCCGAAATCCAAATCTGTAAGACGGCAACATTATCTTTGACATCTGCGTTCTTCATCGTCGCTTCCACGAAAAGAATATATTTCACAATTCAAATTCACACCTACCCATAAGAACACAACCCAAATCCTCAAATACCCATTACCCATTTCTCAATTTCAGAATTTGATTCGTTTCTGACCAAGATCCCAATTCTTTAACCGATGCGACCCAAGATCGAATCCGAGCAGAATCACAGTCGCCGGAAGCAAATCTCCGTCCTACCAAAGCGGATAATATTGGTCCGCCACGGTGAGTCTCAGGGCAATCTCAACTCCGCAACCTACGCCACTACCCCCGATAACAAAGTTCCGTTAACGGAAGAGGGTTTGATTCAGGCTCGAATCGCCGGTACCGAGCTCCACAGATTGTTGTCCGATGATGGCACTAACCCTAATTGGCGAGTCTACTTCTACGTTTCTCCCTACGAGCGCACCCGATCCACACTCCGGGAGATCGGCCGAGCGTTCTCGAAGAAGCGGATTATTGGCGTCAGAGAGGAGTGTAGAATCAGAGAGCAGGATTTTGGGAATTTTCAAGTGGAGGAAAGAATGAAGATCGTGAAGGAGACGAGGGAGAGATTTGGGAGATTCTTCTACCGGTTCCCTGAAGGGGAGTCTGCTGCGGATGTTTACGATCGCGTTTCCAGTGAGTTCTTTCTTCTTTTTAATATCTGTTCTTCTTTGTCTTTCATTCAATCTTATGGATTATGAGTTCAAGATTAGGCTCTGGCTGTTGGGAACATAGTCATTTAGGATGCCTTCTGATTCTACTTGTTTGATTTGGGTTCAATTCTTGTGAGTTTCAGTTGAAGATTAAGCTCTGTTTGTTGGTCTCTGATATCTCTGGTTTAGGGAGCTTTGCATTTAGGATGTCTTTTGAGTTATAATATGTCTATTTGACATTGCATTGTTGTGTGAGTTAGCTTATCTTGGCTACTGTTTTGGTAATCTCATAATCTAGGTGAAGATGAACTGAGATTATATAAATCCAGGCTCTTATAGAACTCACTTTTTATACTATGCTAATCTTTAACTGCTATAAGAACCATGTTTTGTTCATTAATTGTATAAACTTGGCTTTCCAGCTACGAACTCTTCATAAACATAGACTTATTAGTATAGCGAGCCAAACATTTTTCAGAAATCTCAAATATAGGGGCGTTTTCTGTGAGACCCCACGTCAGTTGGGGAGGAGAATGAAACATTCTTTATAAGGTTGTACAAACCTCTCTCTAGCATGTGCGTTTTAAAACCTTGAGAGAAGCCTGGAAGGGAAGCCTAAAGAGGACAATGTCTGTTAGAGGTGGGATTGGGTCGTTACAAATGGTATCAGAGCCAGACACCGGGCGATATGTCAGTGAGGAGGTTGAGCCTTGAAAGGGGGTGGACACGAGGCGGTGTGCCAGCAAGGACGCTGGGCACCGAAGGAGGGTGGATTGTGAGACCCCACATCAGTTAGGGAGGAGAACGAAACATTCTTTGTAAGGGTGTGGAAACCTTTTTCTAGCATACGCGTTTTAAAACCTTGAGGGGAAGCTCAGAAGGGAAAGCTCAAAAAGGACAATATCTGCTAGCGGTGGGATTGGGTCGTTACAAATGGTATCAAAGCCAGACACCAGGCTATGTGCGAGTGAGAAGGTTGAGTTCCGAAGGGGGATGGAAACAAGGCGGTGTGCCAACAAGAATGTTGGGCCCTGAAGGGGGGTGAATTGGGGGTCCTACATCGATTGGACAAGAGAACAAGTGCCAACAAGGATGTTGGACCTCGAAGGGAGGTGGATTGTGAGATCCCACATTGGTTTGGAGAGGAGAACGGTACATTCTTTATAAGAGTGTGGAAACCTCTTCCTAGCAGATGCGTTCTAAAACCTTGAGAGAAACTTGAAAGGGAAAGCCCAAAAAGTGCAATATCGGCGAGATTTTGATGATATTGATGTACTTTGTAGTTTGAAGTACGATGAGTTGTAATTTCATGACTATGTATCTGCTTCATATTGTTGATCCTACAAAGGGTTTTGTTGGCATTTGAAGATAAAGATGATGAACGCTAGCTTGTTGTCTGCATTGTTCATATCTCATCTCTAAATGGAGGCTGAGAACAATTATGAATATCACTTACTTGTTGAACTTCACTTTAGAGTATAGATTGTTTAGGCTTTAAGATGTGTCCAATTGTTTATGCACATTAGATGAGATGAGATGAGATGAGATGAATGGTGTGGCATACTGAAATAACCATTCTGAGGAACACATTTGTATTCTCTCAGGCTTTCTTGAATCTCTGTGGAGGGACATAGACTTGAACAGGCTCCGCCACAACCCGTCCCACGACCTCAACCTTATAATCATATCTCACGGGCTAACATCGCGCGTCTTCCTCACGAAATGGTTCAAATGGACAGTCAAACAATTCGAGTACCTGAACAACCTCGAGAACTGCGAATGTCGGGTAATGCAGTTGGGACGAGGCGGAGAATACAGCTTAGCCGTTAAGCACACAGAGGAAGAAATGCTGGAATGGGGACTCTCCCCTGAGATGATATCCGACCAGAAATGGAGAGCAAGTGCACACAAAGGGGAATGGAATGAAAGATGTCCCTGGTATCTCGATGCTTTCTTTGATAATCTATCCGACTCGGACTGTGACGGTGACGACAGCTCTGATGAACTGTGTCACAATCACGAGGAGGAACTTGTTCGAGTGTAGAACTGACTAAGGAATGACTTTTACGTTTACAATTCTTTGAATTTGATTGCGCTTGATGGGTGGATGAAAATCTACCTTCTATCCAAATTGTTTAAGAGGAGGTTGGGTGGGTCGGTATCGGGACGTCACGTGATCGTAAGCAAGCAATCAATAGGACAGCGAAAACGCTGATGAAAGGGGATGGATATATTTGTTATGTCCCTCATGTCAGTTAGATTCGAAGGATTGGAACTTATTTGAGCTCAAGATCAAAGAAATTGAGACAAATTTAAATAATAAAACCCTATTGAAAAATTAAAATAAGTTCTTCTGACACCACCAGTAATAACTCAAGTTCAGCCCTATTTCAAATCAATCTAAAAAAAAAAAAAAAAAAATCCCCTGAAATCGATGAATATGTATGAAAACCCAAAATGGCCTAATGGTTGATTGAATTGAATGCATCGCATCTTCTCCTCACTTCTCCCTTTCCGTCGGTTTTCACCTCGCGAACGCTCATCTTCTCCATCGCCTCTCCAAAATCCTTGAAGAACAATGCCTGGTTCCCTGCGTACATCTCCACAAATTTCCTCGTCCTCGGATCCTTCGCCAGCGCGTGATCCGACGCCGACACTCCCATTCCTCTCAGCAGATTCTGGTAGTATACGTTGTCGAACTTCCCTGGCGTTACGGGGTCGCTGTACGCCGAACTTGCTGGATTCTTCTCGTAGTCCGCACAGGACTTCTTCAACGCCTCCGCGTATTTCGAATTAATCTCAGGATCTGTTGGTGTGTTTTTGCTGAAATTGAACAGCCGATCGCTGAATTCCCTGCAATTCGAGAATCCGATTGTGCGTCCGCCGTATAGCGCTACCATTTCTTGAATCGTGAATCCTTTCGCTTCGAATAGCTTAATCAATTCGTCAATTGATTGATTCGGTTTCGGAATGTTACCTTCCACATCTGAAATTTTCGAGACGAGGCTATCTTTTCGCCCTAATTCAACTTTGTACGACGGTCCACCTGAGCAATGAGATCTCTAGTCGCCTGCGCTAACACATCAGAGCAAGAGACGATGCCAGGGCAAGAGAGCTCTAAGGTGATCTTCGCACGAGTGACAACGTCGAAGGCATCACCAGGAAGAGCGTGGTTGATTTCAGCATCGCGCTCGGCGTGGTTGAAGACATTGGATGAAATAAGAACAGAGGCATCGCAGCCTCCAACCAAACAATCGCTGAAGAAGAGGCGCATAGATGCAGCGGCGGTGACGGGGCTAGTAGCGTGCTTGCGAGCGACAGTGTCGTGAACGATTTGTGCAAAATCGGGGCAAGTTTTGTGGTAATAATCGAGAGAAAGGTGAGAGTGAACGGAGAATGGAAGAGATAGGGAAAGTAGAAGAAGAAGAGCGGTAGGGTGGAAGAAGGCCATGGCGGGGTAGAGGAAGGAGGTGGGGGACGACCTGCTTCCTCTGGATGTGTAGTGTTGTGAGGAGGAAGAAGGAAGGAATCGCGGTGTGAGAAAAATGGAGGGATGAATGGGGGTTCAAAAAGAGATGGAGCATTGGTCGGGAGAGGTTTTGGGAGATTAGTTAGAGATGGAGAATTGATGAAGGTTTGATGTTAATTTTTTTGGTGTACCTTACCCGTGTTGGGTTGTATTGAGGAATTTTTTTAACCAACCCCAAAATTTTCACAACTCAACCCAACTTAAGAGCGGAAGTCCGACGAGGAACACAGAGCGTAGAAGTCAAACGAAAATAGAATGGAGAGTTGAGTAGAAAGACAGTCGGCGACGACGTCAACAAGGTCGAGTGGAGAAATGAGAGATGAGAAGAGAGTGTGATGGAGAAATAAAGAGGTGACTGGCGAGTGACGTCGATGTCCGATACGAGATGAGAACGACGTCAACAGAGAACACGAATGTTGTGAGATGAGGACGATGAGAATGAAGAGAGAAGAGACAATGAGATAGATCATTACAATTATTAATTCAATCTAGGTTATGGAGGAGGAGAGAGAGAAAGTCTGCCTCGAAGAGTGAATGTGCTCCATATGGAAGGGTCAACAACATAACTCATGGGTGGGCTACGTGGATTTGGGTGTTCTAAATCATGAGATAATGCATCGGTAGTCTTATTAGATCAGTAGATAATTAAAATAATGTGTTTCAAATTAACATACTATTACATCAGTAGATAATTAAAATATAAAATTATAAATATATAATTGATTAGTTAATTTTTTTTTTAAATTATACATTAAAGAGATAATTAAAATGATCGGAGGAAGAATTAGAGTAAAATTGTTCAGAATAACCTTCCACCATGTTAATTGACACGGATAATTATAGTGATTAGGAGATCTCTTTCTAATATTATCAATCTCCTAAAATGAACAAAGCAAATATTATATCTCTCGTTTTATCGGGAGACTTTAGATAATGTCGTAATGTATGGTGTTGTCCAAGTCACACAAGAATCTTACTATTAGAGATGAATTTTACAAGTGGGGACTCTCCTCGAACGGGAAGGGGGTTCCCTATTTAGACAAGGAATGAGGTAGGGAGTGAGTGATAAATATATATATATATATTTTTTATAGATAAATGGGGTCAGGGACAGGATTATATTTCTCATCCCGCCTAATTCTCCACCCATTTTAATATAAATATATTTTCAAGACACGTGTGTGTATATATATATATATATATATATATTGATTAAAAATTATATTAAAACGTAAAAACTTGAAAGAAATTAATAAACGGGAAAAAATTGTCACAGAGAACCCCATCCTAATAGGTGGCGTGAATTATTGGGTCGTCTTTTTTTTTTTTTTTTTGTGTGAATAAAGACGAGCAAAACAACAATTGACCTAATTACCATACTTCATGCACTCTCGAATATCCATAGCCGAACATTAGGTCTTCTCGACCCACACTTTTTCTTAAATTTTTTTCCTACAAATTTTCTGTTTTTATTTTTTAATTGAGAATTTGAATATAAATTATAATTTTGAAATTAAATATTTTAAAAAAAAACTAGCAATTCTATTTTTTTAAATATAAATTATGTGAAAAGATTTTTAATGAAATTGTAACGACACTAAATTTTGCCTACTTAATTTAAGGTCATTACTATACCTCGAAATGCGGAAGTCCTGTTGACTTACACTCGCCTTTTATTACCTCGAGAAAATGATTACAAGGGAAAGAAAGGAAAATAACATTATTGAAATAAACAAAATGAACAAAACCTAAATGAATGTCTTATACGTTTATTATGCAATTACAATTCAACCTATACTAACCTATACTAATGTTACAAACCGAATTCATCCTAGACTATGAAATGAAAAAAAAAAAAAAAAAAACAACTACTCTATGCATGTGCCACAGTCCCGGGGTGTATGAATCCGTCGTCGATGTCACATGGGTGCCTTGCCCTTATATGCAAAAGTAAAGTAGCTCGAGGCTTGAGTATTTCTAGAATACTCATTAAGTGACCCCCTATCAGGGTTATGCAACAATCACACGCAATGAAATGATGGGACTTATCGTTTCGTTTCGTTTTCCCTACGGTGCTGTCCTAACGGGTAATCGTGGACGTGTACCATATACTCTACACACAGCCCATACGTGCGAGTATGGGCTCACCAGCTAGTTCGCACACCGCTGGGCCACTTTCCTTATCCGGTGGACATACTCTGGGAGCCCTTATGCCGAGACCCATTAAAACTAGAACCGTCACAGCAGCACTATGCAAAGCATAACGATCGTTGTCCTGCCATTAGATGTACGCGTCCGTACCCTCGTGATAGGATAGGGGTATCCCCCAGATGCATGAACACACATAATGCATGAGGTCTCCCCTACTTCTACATTTATCATTAATGATCATAACCCCCTGTCACGTTCCATGCTTCATGTCATTCTCATTTTCAATTCACATTTCATACATATTCCTATCGGGGTTATGATTCCAGACAGTTTACTGTGTTTCATGTCACACAATTCATGCCGTTTACATTCACGTATTCCATACAATCATGCCATAATCATTCAAGGACCACATATCGTCACGTGCATAACATATCACATCAAACTAAGCAGCATACATAGCATACATTCACGTTCATATGATTTTGTACTTAAGCACATTAAACTAGTATACAATTTAATGACACGTGCAAATCCACGGGCACGTGCCAACATACAGCAAATAACGCATAACCTACGACGGGTGAGCCACTTACTTGGTTAGCTTAAGTCGTTGTCACGTATATATCATTAATGAAAGTTCGATTCCATCCTTTGAAATCCAAAACAACCTATATGAGCCCATGACATTAGTTTAAAGTTTGAACCCTATAAAATTATTTCTCTAATTTAGATATTAAAATTTTGATATTTCCTTAGACAAAATTTAATGGAGCCTCATGCCCTCTCATATTTATTGTTTTATTTTTAAATTATGTTCAACAAATCTTCCATTTTCTCTCCTCTTGTAATTATTTTCCTTCTGTAAATACATTTTCAGTTCTGTAGAGTAAATAAGATATTCCTCTAATTCTATATTTATTTTCATTCTGTAAATAGATATTGTTGGACAATTTTAATGGCTACTATCTTATAGATTCATGTATCTGCCACTAAAATTTTATTGATCTAACTTTATTTCAACTTACAAAACAAAAAATCTAATTAATTAAAGATTATTAAGTAAAACAAAAAATCTAATTAATTAAAGATTATTAAGTAAAATATGAAAGAATATTTTATTCTGAATTGATTTCTTATAATCATAACTAAACAAAAAAAGGAAAATTTTACAGAGTATTTTAAAATCTCTGGAGGTTGAGGAAAGAGGATACAGTTGCTAGAAGTTAGTGGAGAGAGATGGGTAAATTTTATTTTTATTTTTATTTTTAATTAATCCTTTTTATTATTTAATTATGAATTATTTTTATTTTTATTATTTTGACGTATATATTTTTTATAATTATTTTTATTTGTTTTTTTTTTTTTTTTTTTTTTTTTTTTTTTTTTTTTTTTTTTTTTTTTTTTTTGTGTGGCTATTACAGAAATATTGGTGTGCAAATA